GACGTCTCGGATAGGTCCACTTATACCTCACTGGCGAACCGGATGAGTCCATTTGCATACTTAAATTATTTCTAAATCTCTTTAAACATTCGAAAGCAGCAATATCATGTACTCAATATATCACTGAAATCATTAATATGAATTTCACTTAAACCATTAATAACAGTCACTCTCTATAACATTTCGAAAATAACCAATCAAATATTTTGGGCTCAAATTTAGAAAGGTAGCAGTTCGTAAAAACGTTCTAGCATAATTGCCAATTTAATATATATAGAAAAACTCTTATAGAAATTCAAGAATACGAAATTATCACAATTTATGGGATATCAATTCACAAATAAACATTTCACAACAATACTATAATCAATTGCAAAAATGTCAATTTTTTTAAATAATAAGGCAGTCATTTGCACATGAATTTTTCAATGTCTAAATATTCAAAACAGTAGAAAGAAATATCACAATTTTACTAAAAGCAGAAATATCACATTTATTTCTAACAATAAACAAGAAAAATAAATAAATTTATTTTTCTAATTTACAGCATTCAAAATTTCTAACATAGATAAAATATCACAATTTTTATTAAAAAGATTATTTTTCAAGATAATGAGGTCGTGTGCGCATAAAATTTATCGTGCCTAAAATTCATGATAATAAGCAGAAATAATTATTTCATTTTATTTTTAAAAAGAATGGATTATTTCGAGACAGAGGTCACTTACACATAAAACTGATAAAATAAAGATCCTAAACAGATTATTTTTCAAGAAGACGATGTCATTTACACACAAAACTTATAAAATAAAGATCCTGGACGGAAATATCACTATTTATTAAAAACAGACTACTTTTCAAGAAGACGATGTCACTTGCACACAAAACTTATAAAATAAAGATCCTGGACGAAAATATCACTATTTATTAAAAACAGACTATTTTTCAAAAAGACGATGTCACTTACACATAAAACTTATAAAATAAAGATCTTGGACGGAAATATCACTATTTATTAAAAATAGACTATTTTTCAAGAAGACGATGTCACTTACACACAAATGTTTGAGAGGGAGCTTCCGATAAAAAATTCGGTTCAAGAGAGGAGTTCACTGTGTTTCGACCAGAGAGATAGAGATCTCAAAATTTTCTAGGGTAGGAGTGCTCACATCCCCTATTTAAATTCTTATAACGTATTATTATAATATTTTATTACGCTCTACCTCATACCTGAGGTGTCGCGTTAAGCGTCTGCTTTCAACATACGAAAACCACGTCCGCTAAAGGACGTTGCCAGCTGCAAGCAGCAACTGCAAAGGCTACAAACAAAAGCAGCAGCAAAAGTTTTAAACCAAGTAAAAGTTTTTGAAAATAGTGATGGTCCCCAAGGACCATCATACTCAAACAGACCATCACCTATTTAAAAGCATCTTTTCTTCCGTTTTTTTTTTTTTTTTTTTTTTGTTGAAATTTTTAGGATTGTTACATATTTGCTCTCTAAAACTTGAAATTTGAGATAATTTCTCTCTAAAATTTTTGAGATAGTTTCTCTATAAAATTTTAAGATACTTTCTCTATGTAAAATTTAAATTTTGAGATAGTTTTTCTCTCAAAAAATTTTGAGGTAATTTCTCTATCTAAAATTTGATATAGTTTCTCTTCATAAATTTTAAGATACATTTTCTCTCTAAAACTTGAAATTTTAGATAGCTTCTCTCTCTAAAAATTTTGGATAATTTCTCTCTAAATTTTTAAGATATTTTATCTAAAACTTAAAATTTGATGTAATTTCTCTCTAGAAATTTTTATAAGGCTTCTCTCCCCAATAATTTACAGGTAATTTCTCTTTCTAAAATTTGATATAGTTTCTCTATCTAAAATTTTAGTATACTCTCTCTTTAAAACTTGAAATTTGATACAGTTTCTCTCTTTAAAATTTTTGAGATAGTTTCTCACTCGTTCTAGAAATTTTTAATAATTTTTTTCTCTAAAATTTGATATAGTTTCTCATTTTAGAATTTTTAGATAATTTATCTCTAAAACTTAAAATTTGAAGTAGTTTCTCACTCTAATTTGTGGGGATGTTTTGGCGAAATTAATTGTATATAATAAAATGGGCAACTCCGGTGTGAAAATAGTATTATCGTAAGTTGTATTATATTGTATTCTTTCTTTCATGCTTACACAAAGTCATGTTTTAGATACCCCAATTTTGTTTTTGATTTGGTATACCCATGTTTTGGCTCATGTATCGAAAAAAAGTTGCCAAATATGTTTTTATACAAGATACCCAAGGTATTCAAAACAAGGTTTTGGATACCCTAGGATCCAAACGGCCACTAAATGAATTGTATCTAGTTGTTATAAAGTTTATCACTTTTGCATGGTTTTACATTAACGAAAGATGACGCATACGTAGAAATGAATATGACTTTCCGTATGGAATTTCATACATCATTGTCAAGTTCTTGCATTTTCGTGCGATGAATTCATACTCATTTGGTAACACTTAGATCCTTTTTTTTGTTATTTTATAATATTATTTTCAGTTATTTTGCATATTGATTTTTCCTTTCGTGCATACACTAAGAAGTCAAAGTTACTATCTTATATAATTCTTATGAATTCTGCTCTCTATAAATAATTGAGTATGTAAATTACCAAAAGTAATTAATTGTGAATTCACTATTATAATATGGTATAAAAAAACATATGCATTTATTTTATGCGGATTACCTCTTTGTATATAAATAGCAGCTTCATGTGTCTTTTTTTAGATCTATCATCAAGTTTTTTTGTTTTTATTCTTGTAAGTAACAATCTGGCCTTTACGTTATCACGCTTACGCTTATTGTACTCAAAGATGTGGTTGAGTGATATCTCTC